GAAACCCTGGCTGAACCAAAAAAAAAAGCAGCTTTTAAGTTTTAATATTTTGTTTTGAATCAGCCTGACAGGAGTGACAGTCATAAAACAAATTCCCACAAGGCAGGAATTCACCACAAATGGTGATTTTAGTATAATATCAGCAGCAAATTTTCATTTGGCACCAACAGTCATTAGTACCTGGGTGTACAACCAAAAGACGTAACTATCCACCATGCGTTGATGAGAGCGCCGCTGCAGGACTGTCGTTCACCGTGTAGATAGACCTGCCAGGGTTTGGAGTGAGGCTGGCTCACTTTGTAGTCTGCCAGGGGAGATGCTCCTATAACAGTTTAGGAACAAACAGAAATGAATCAATTATTCTAATAGTAATTTATTTTATAATAGAACATGGTAAAGACCTACCGGTGAGCCCCAAAGCAGCCACTAGAAGTAGAAGATTCATTCTGTATCTCTCTTGTTTTTTTTTGTGTGTGTGTTTTTCTTTAGCAGTATTGTGTAAAAACTATTTCTCTTGCTTCTTTATACCTGCAAGAACAGGGGGCGGAATGGGCTGCTTTATTACTATTCACTGTCATTTCCAGCTTAGCTCTTGTCTCTGTAATGATCTCATCAGAGAACAATATGTCCAGTTAGAGTGACACACCTTGTTTCCTGTAACTTTGTCTTTCTTTTCTGAGACAAGGTACAGTAAACCTGTATTGTTGAGACATAATAGATTCCATTTCTCTGTGTGTGTCCTTGTACTTCATGCATAGTAAGGACACAAAAATGTACTTTTTGCTAGAGAGAGAGGACATTTTGGCCTCCTCACTTTCTGAAGCACCTTTTTGACAGTTAAGACTTGGTTTTAGGATTCATATTAGAATTAGGTTTAGTGTTATTGTTGTGGTTAAGCACTGAGTTGTGTTAGGGTAAGCGGCTAGGGAATGCATTATGTCAATGAGTGTCCTCACAAAGATAGAAGTGTGTTTTAGTTATTCTTTTAGATTTAAGATAAGCAAAAATCCACTGCATACATGCTCTTGTGGCTTAGTGGGCTATATTAAAACCATTTTATGATGGGTCTTTGCTAAAGCACACAATAAAATAAAAGACAATAGTTGGGATATTTTGTCATGATGCAGCTATCTAATGAGAGGGTCAGACTATTAGGAACACCTCTGAATATAGTGTAGTTCATTACACCATCACCGTTAACTATGACCTCAGTAGTAAATATATAATTGAATTTATACTCTGATGACAATTTCACCAAAAACTGAAACATTTTGAGCTTCATAAACACAGTTGTTAAGGAGGAAAAGTTGCATTGAATTGTATTCAATTGTACAGCGGTACCTATTAAAGTGGCCGGGCAGTGATTGTCCAGGACGTGATCAGTTGTCTCTAGAGAAAACATGACCAAAGAGATCGGTATAAGTCGGCCTTGATTTTTATTTCTCAGTTTTACTAATACAATATCAATTAAAGTAATTGTCAATATCAGTTCATTCACACATTTACTGTATACCCATGTCTACACACACACACACACACACACACAGATTCCAAGTGCAACAAAAACTCAACCTTTATAACTAATGTAGCACATGGTGACTAATACACACAGCTGACACAATCCATTTTCTGCTTTTCTCACAGCAGGATGTAGAGAATTTGTATTTTATTTTGAGTTTAGCAACAGCAGCATGCGCCCACAGATCTGCTTATATCACAGTAGTGTCAAGACCAAATCTGATCACAGTTGTCAGCTGAGAGAAAGCATATGAAATGGATTTTGATGCCAAATACAAAACACTGTTCTTTACAGATTCATCCAGTTGGAACAGATGTAAACAACAAAGGTGTGCACGTTGCACTACACATGTACATAAAATATTTCTCTCCTTGTCGTGCTTTTTAAAATCACAGATTGAATCATGGTATGAGTAGAATTAGTTTTAGGAGTATTTTTTAGAACTACTGTAATAGAATACCATTGTCCTTTTAACTATGTGGTTTGTTCTGCAGCTCTCTAGTACAATGTACATTTTAGTAACAGCTACACATGATGATACTTGAAAGCAAATGAATCTGTTTTGGTGGCTATAGTTTGTGAAAAGGCCACATGTTGTAGATTTATGCATTAATCAAAAATCGCAACATCCACTAAACAAACAAGACCATTTCTATTGTTTATTCATCTTGGTAGGTTTCTTGACACTTGCATTTTTCACATTGTTTCTTTTCCTCAATTATTAATAGCAACAGAAGCTACGGTTTTGGTGCTGCCGCAGCTGATTAGGCTCTGCTGGTCCTTTGCATCAGTGAGATGAATAGAAACATGGGTCAGAATCAGGATCAGAACCAGTCTTATACAAACAGACAGGAGTGTGCACAGTTTACTTTATCCAACACTAAACTGAATTCTTATATATCAACCACCAGCCCAAGTTTTTTTGTATAAATATTTTATTTCAAGATAAAACACAAACATATAAGTTTATGCAGCAGTAGAATGTTCGTTAGAGCCGAGGAGGAAACTGAACTACCAGTAGGTGGCGACATATCATTACATTCTTTGCACTACTTTTATGGCTGGCTGTTTTCTAATTCTTAGACCAATAGGGGAATGTGTTGGTTCTTCATAAAATGCTGCATGCTCCTTGTCTTGAGCTTGCCAAGTTGTTCTGTTCAGTTTCCTTTGTGCAAGCTGTTAGTTGTTTTTTCACAGGATCACACTCCCTGCAGGATGGTTATCATTTTCCACCAGTGCAGTGGCTCAAGAAAGCAGCAAGATGCACTGGGTACATTATTTTTGATGACACTGTTTTGAGGTTTTGATGCCAAATGACGTTTGGGCCTTTCATGTGGAGCTTGAAAGTTCTTGTGGTGTTGGAAAATTTACTGAGGTCATCAGGAATCATTTTGCTGGTTGTAAAATAAGTGGTAAAGTTGGTCTTGCATTATACCGAAGTAGGTGCTCACCACTGTGCTAGTATCGGTGTAAAGAGTTCTGTTGGCAACACAAAGAGGCAAGTTTTAAAATGTAAAGTCATATTTTTTTGTATTGCATTAATTCTGCAGGTAAAATCTCTTACTTTGCCTTCTCCGCCAGCTTCAAGTCCCTAATGGTTTCTATGTATCCACTGGCAGTGTTGACAGCATTGTCATAGTAGGACTTGACAGTGTCTTTGATTGTAGATGTATGTCCTTGCTCCTCTTCAGCCATCCTGGGCACACGAAAGCTTTCAGCACCTGCATAAAAAAACAGGTCAGAGGGGTCAAAGAGTGACACGTTTTATCAGGATGCTGAATTTAGTGTTATCATCTGAGAATACACTTACTGAGAGCAAGGAGTGCAACAAGCACAGTAACGACCAGCAGCTTATTCATGTTGTCACTCGTGTCTGTGAGTGAAGAGAGAATAGAGACATTTAAAGCTTACCTCACTTTATCCACTAGGGTGAGATATTGTCATTCCCCACTCTTGGTAGGTGTAGATTTCTTCTGATATTAACAGTCTATGTATGAAAAGTCTGCTTTGATCTTTTTGCTCTTATAGCATGAAAATAAAACACTTACAGTTTGTGTCACAAATGAACAGACACACTAACACTGATGCTATTTAAATGTCTTACGCTCTGTCCTATTCAGTAATCAAAGTAAATGTGGCAGTACTCACTGTATTCCTCCCCAGAAATGAGCGTGATGAAGAAAACGGAGTAAGAGGCACCGTTGGCGTGGCCAGTTTATATAGGAGAGTAGATATGTTGACTTGTCTCTTCCAGAGCCAAAGTGCACTCTGTAGGAGATAAAGCTGTGCCCTTGTCTGGCGGGTGTATGTGTGACACTATGTCTCAACAAAACAGAGGAGAGTGGATGAGGCATCAAAAGCAGCTTTAAACATCATCAAGAGTCAGTTAGGACTTTAGTCTGATTTGATTTTGTAACTGTGTGTGTGTGTGTGGGGGGGGCGCTCTCACTAACTAATGATGTGTTCATGTCACATTACAACAGTCCTAAGTCCTATAATGAGTCTAGAGTGTGTTGAACACGTCATCCAGGCTACTTCAGGTTATGAAATATTTAGGCCAACCAGGCAAGAAATAATGTTTGGGGGTGGGGGCTTCAGGGAGAAAGAGAAGTTCTATTCATCAGTGTGGCTTTATTTAGAGATGGAGAAACTGCCTTTTTGTACAAGATTTTCAGGCAAAGGTGCAGGTGAAAAACTAAATGTTTTTGATTTGATTTGATTTGATTTATTCTTGTTTGTTTGTTGTGTCAGTCCAAAGTGCATCTGATTTTGTTTCTGTTGTTTGTTATGTGCTAATATGACTGTCCTTCTAGTTTTAACATTCTAATGATTTCAACATGTGTTTGTTTTTTATTTTTGATTATCTTTTTAGCCTTGAGGTTTTGGTTATATATTTGATTGTAAATATTTTGGTTCTGGTTAATAAGTGCAAATGTTTCTTTCTTTGCTAAAGTAAAACATTTCTGCACAGTTTTAATGTGAAACATTTTTTGTGAATACACATATTTATACATACTACACGGGAAGAGCAAACAGAAAATTCTACACATAGAACATGTTGTAAAGTGCTTTATGAAAGCTTTTGATCTCTGTTTCTATGATTTAAGAACATACTTTTTATCTATTTATCATCACACTTTGGCAGCAATTTATTAAAGGGCCTATGGGATGGTTTTCCTTGTTTTCTGACTTATCTACAATGTTACGGTGAATTATCATCTTATATGTGGCCTAAAGCTCAAAAATGAGGTGTACGTATGTTCTAGTATTTCTATACAGAAGCAACTCAGTTTATACAAGCATCTTAAACTTTCGCTTGCAAGACTTTTTTTTCTAACAAAATAAAGTATTACGTGATAGTTTAAGGATCTCCTTGAATGGGCATTAAATCCAGGCTGTTTCATGATCATGTCAGCTTGCCTCACATCCACTGGTGGCCCCACTGTATTGGGAAAATGTAATATTGCCTTATTTGTTATGTATATTTTCTATAAAGCTTATTAAAAAAACCTTAAAAAAGGCATACTCCGGTGCCATTGTAAAAGTTTATTTTTTAGACTGTGCCCGGTTTTGTAGATATATTTTACCTCCTGCTGCACTGTGACCAGAGGATGTGGAGAAAAATAGGCGTGAGGTTACTGCATGTCCAGGAATGTTCCTGTACAGGGACTCATTGTTTTACCTGACCGCGTCTAACCTACAAGCAGTCGGACTGTGAAGCCCCCTGCTGTGGTGACTGATCAGCTCATCAATGCTGGATTCCCCAGGAGCACAGTACATGTTTGTTTTGACTGTTTGAGGCCAGTGTGTCTGCCGCATGTGATGTGTTGCTGATTAACGATCCATGATGTTATTTAGGTGCCTGTTGGAATTAATTTCACTACTTTGGGATTCGAAGTGTCGTGAGGGGGAAATATGCAGGGACCACCAGTTGGATTTACCGACCTTGGAGCTACTTGAAAGGGAGTGATGTTTCCACTACTCGGTGGGATGCCTTGTTTCTGAGAGAGAATTGTTGTAAGGCTGGAGAAGTTACTATGTCTGCATTATGCCAGTTAAAATATGGGGTTTCTCAAGTACCCACTTTGTTTAGAGGGTTGCATCTCTTTTCATCGGTACGCATACCGTGGTTTGCCTGTCTGTGGAGGAGAAATTCAAATTAATTCATGCTATTGCGGTTCGCCGTACTGTCCAATTTCATATTCGGGCTTGACGTGTCAGGTAGGACTTGAGGTATTATCAGTGTCGAAAACATAGCTTATTTGTCAGTGTTTTTTGTTCCCCCATCAAGATGTGTTTCCCTTGTTCAAAACTTGGTTTTATAAGATTTAGCCCAGTTCTTTCAACCAGGAACTCAGAGGGACGACGCAGACCACTTGGATATATATAAAAAATATAACCGTGCTGGTTTATTCAAAGGGTCACAGGCAAGAATCAACATTACACGTCCAGGCATCTTCCACCCCCAAAACTGCTCGCAGGCAGCCCGGAAGAAGAAAGACCCTGAACCCAAGATCTCTATACAATTTAATCACTTCGTTGGGCTAGCCCCATCCTACACAGGCCACGTCAAACCGTGACGTCACCTGATATGCCAGCTATGCAGCTGACCAGAGCAGTAGTCAAAACATGAAGAATATTAAAGTGTGTGGCTGTTGATTAGTGGTGTGTATCTAAAAACATACAGGACATTCTGGGGCATGTCCGAACAGTAAGCCCCGGAAAATGTTATGATTAAGATTACGGCTGAGCATAGCATGCTACTAGCAATATTCATCTGCCGGCAGACTCTTCAATCTAGTTGACCTTGGCCTAGATGCAGCCTGCAGAACTCATGACAATGAACTGAGCATTTAACAGCCTGAGCAAGACATCCTGTCTGCCTTACACATTTCTAGACAACAAATCCCTAAATATCTACCTAACTAAGAAAATACCTAACAGTTTCATGTAGCATCCCCCTCGGTGGTGTCATCAGGATAATGTTACGATTCAGGTTAGGGGAAACGCATCTCAATGAGGAAACAGATTTTGACACAACACTGGCAGCAGGAGTTGTGCACATTCATGAACTTTCCTCTCGTTTTTTGGAAAAGGCTCACTGGTTTTATCATTCTGAAATAATTACGGACTATTTGGAGTTATGAGGAGTGCAAAGCTAATATAGAGGTACCCAAGATTAAACATTAAATGGCTAGAAATGAGCATGCCATGGGATCTTTGTTTGCCTGTATTTATGATTGTGCAGAGTGACTATGAAGTCTTAGTTTTGAGCTGATGCATTTTTTAGAAATAAGTTTCCCTGAACTCTGAAAGAGTTCCCCAGCACATCAACCAACGTCACGTCATGTGGCTTGTGACCCGAGAGCTCAGGTCAGTGTGAGGACAGCTGTGGACTGTGTTCAAACTGTCAGAGAGCTTGTGGTTGATTAAAGACAGCTAATTCAGTGCTGTGATGACTCCGCTCTGCTTGGTTATCACTGTAGATAAAGCTGACATTAAACTGCATAATGACATCAGCAGTGTAGAGTGTTGTTTGCTGTTGCTTAAAAAGCTTCAGTTACCAAAAGGACTGAAATGAGGCAGAAATGACAAATGTGCAGCTCTTGCTGCCCTCACACCACACCCCATCATTCAAAATGATCTCAGAGCTGGCCCACAGGGGACGTCCGTTAACTCCAACTAGTGTAATAAAAGAAATGCTTCCATGAGTTGGGATACATTGAGAAGTGAAGTTGTGTACTTTATGTCACTCACTCACATTGATGATTTTACTCCAAGATATAGATCCTGAGATCTAAGGTTGTGTTCAGAGCAAAATATACTTCTTAATAATATGTGACTACTTCATGGCTTTCAGTTGGTGTCTGAGTTTACTAAATGAATGGCCTTTGTTGTCGTGTAGTGTAAAGCATTCTTTTTAAATTACATGTCCAGTATCATAAATTGGCAGCTAATGTTATAAACTAGTTCCATGGTGTATGATTTATGTGGCAATAAATGAAGATGTGGCCTAATTAAAAGGTATAATTGTAATTATGTAACAGTCTGGAACAAGCTTGTGTTCTTCTAATGTGTCGGAATAACTTAACTTCTCCTATAGAATTAGGTTTTATGATATTCTTCTTCTTCTTTCGGCTGTTCCCGTTAGGGGTCGCCACAGCGAATCATCTGTTTCCACCTAACTCTATCCTCGGCATCCTCTACTCTCACCCCAATTAACTTCATGTCCTCTTTTAGCACATCCGTATATTAATTGTGTAAATAAACCTTCATTCTCATGACGAAGCACTTTTGAAATCGTTTCCAGTTCATTTTATTGAACAAATTCACACATATACATACACAGTCACACACAGACTTTGGTTAGGGTATCAAACGCAAAATATTGTACATGCACAATTTGCATAGATGGTGTTTGCATTTTTGCCCTTTGTTGAAACTCTGCATGATTTGGCAAAGCTATTGATTTGAAAAGAGGCAAAGGATTGGATCTGAACTGTGCATCGCTCTTCTCAGGCTAAACTGGTGTGGTTTTTATAAGCTATCATCTATTACAGGCTGCTGATGGGTGGTTTGTTCCAGTCTTTACTCAGCAGGCAGGATCTGGTCCAGGTGGATCTTGATATGGTCGATGGCTTCACCAAGCCTTTCCCCAACGTGGGGGCGCAGGAAGTGTTCGTACAGACCCAGCACTGCTGTACGGGCCTTGTCCACCAGGAGATCTGCCTCTTGGGCTACACCACTGCTCAAAACAGGGAAAAATGTTTGTTCATTAAAATCCCCATGCTAAAAAGATGAATCACCTAGCTCAGTACCTTGAGAAAATATTTTATGTTTTCAGTAGAAACTGTGAAATATGAATATATTTTGCTAATATTCCAAAGCATATTTGCAGGTAAAGTACAAATATTACTTAATATTGGCTGCTGGGAAATGTTTTTCCTGATAATGACAGTGAAACAACATAGGGTGTTCACCGGAAGCCTTGTTCTCTGCTGACACTCACCTGACAACCTTGGCAACCGCTTGGACCTCAGGCTTGGACTGCACACCCTCAGTGTATTCCCTGAGAGCCTTTCCCTGCTCACTATCACCAGCTCCTTGCACTAAAGGAGCAACGTGGCTCTGCGCCTTCAGGAGCCTCTTGAGGAACGTAGATTTCAGTGAATTGTACTTTTCAACAAGCTCCTGTGATGGTGTAGGAAACTCAGACAGGCTCACTGAGACTGGAATGAAATAAGAATTGTAAGAGCATTATGCCAGAACCAGTGCTGCAAAAAATAACAAGCAGTCAAAAGATGTTAATTTGGAAAAAAA